GCATAGCCATGATGATTTCCAACCTTCGATAGAAATGGAACTTAAAGAAGAGAAGGCAATGGTAGGGCGGAAACCGAAGAACTTCATGGCTATATTTAATAGCCATTTGGCCAGTAACAAATTTCTTTTGAATTTTGTGCTCTCCACACCTTTGAAGTAAATCGAAATTTAAAAATATGTCACTGTGATAAATTTTGTTTTCTGTCAACCACAACTTTATTTCTTCTTTTATCTAGCTGCTTGAAGGAAATCTCTCTTCTACTATTAAGTGGTAGGATGCATTATCTAACACTATTATGGATGGTCGCTCCAATTTTTTCAACAAATTTTCTTTAAACCATTCTTCAAAAATATTTGCATCCATATTTCCATGATAATCACCTGTATTCTTTGTGGACAAAAAAATTAAACTAGCGCACGAATAAAACCCTCATCATTTCCAGCATGAAGTATATTGTATTGTTTCATTTAGGCAGCCTGCGGCTCTGTTTGCTCTATTCACTTGATCTTCAACTTCGGTTTCGAGCTTTCCGTAGCTAGATAATGTGATGCCTAGATATTTAAACCCCATCACTTATGCTGTTATCTGGCCTTCCAGCTACACTTTACATCTTAGTAAATTTGCTGTTGTAACCATACATTTTGTCTTTGTTAGGGAAATTAACATGTTAAATTTTCTGACGATTATATTAAATTACTTGCAGCGTACGTTGTAAATCATTTTCACTTTGAGAGAGTAGTATTGCGTCGTCTGCATAGCAGATTATTTTAAGTTGTTTTTCTCCCATTTGGTATCCTTTTTTAGTTTTTACTTTTTTTATTATTTTATCCATAATCAGGTTGAACAATAGAGGATTCAGGGAATCTCACTGTCGTATCCCATTGCCAGCTTCAATAGGGTCGGTTAGTTCTTCTTCTACTAAACGAAAGGCAGAAGTTACAAAACAGTCATCAGACCAATAATGACATACGCGGCAGAAATAAGACCTGACACAGAGGACAAAAAGGATGTTAAAAACAGCTGAGATAAAAACACTTAGAAAAATTGATGATAAGACAGAGCTAGAAGTACAGATATACGACATAATGCAAGGTAGAGAACATCAAAAACTGGGTAAGAAATAGAAGAATAGAATGGAACGATCATATAAGCCGAATGACAACAAATAGGGTAGTAAAGACGGCAGGAGACGGTTCCCCAATAAGAAGACGATCATTAGGAAGACCACGAATACGATAGAATGACAACTTACTGGAGGCACATTGAAGAACAGACAGAGTCATGTCTATATAAAAAGAAGAAGTATATTGTAGCGTTTACCATTACCGGAACGACTAGGAGAATAACATTTCGTGGTACCATCTTGCCAGGATGATTTTGACATATTTTTTTTAAGCGAAAATCCAAGTTTCATTTAAAAATACAACTTGCCTCGGACTATCGACGTTGTATTGTTTATGTATTTTCTGAAAAAATGTCACCGTTTTGAAACAACATTAGAAAGTTCACACAATACTTGTCTATTATTTGTTTTTTTTTATATCGAAAACCTAAATGTTTCAGCAAACTTCATTAATATCACACAGTTTCTTGTCTTTTATTTTTTGTAACACAGCACTAATTTTTACATGTTCTTTGGCTTTATACATATTATATATTATTTTTAATTGCAAATTTAATTGACTGGTGCAAATCTAAAGATTTTGGATGTCGACAATTTCTCTTGCTTACTTTATTTATTTCATCCTGACTCATGTTATTAATTCTTCGGAGTCTCTGAGATACCGCAAGCATCGCATGTGCGTATCTGAACTGCCATAAAAGATGTCAATGGACTATTATTTTTTTCCAAATTGAAATAACTTTCGACTTTCAGAACTAAACGCCGTTCTTCTAGACTACGTTTCGACTGTACTTTATTTTCTTCCAAATTACTCATTTTACTTTAAAGCACCGCTTTACTACACTACTATAAAAAATAGGTACTTATATACAACTACTACAAGCTAAAAAGGACGAGGGTTGTACAACAGACGAAACAATCGAACACAAATTATTTAACAGCCAATGCTAAACAAGCATAAACACTGCATTGATTGTGATTGCAAAAACCGTTCGCATGTTTTAAATAAGATTTTTGCTGATTATGTATTTTGCTAAATTATTAAATAGCACCAATACAACCCACGACCATCAATTAATTTTTAACGATAAACAGAAGTGTAATATGATGACAAGATTGAACTAGATCTACTTTGTCGATATTTTTAAATAGCATGAACCATTTTATAATGATTGTGTGGATTTAAGAAAGACATTACTAAACAAATGTTTAGAGTGTGTATAAAGGAGATTACAATTATTATGACACATGGTACTTCATATTTTTCAAATAATATGTTCTTGTAAAGGCATAACTTTGATTATTGGGTAAACCTACATTATACGATACGTCAGAAGAAATTAGAAAAAATTAACATGTAATAAATTCACTGTTTAAATAAATATTCATTGTTGAGCAGTGCTGATTAAAACAACAGAACAGTAAAATGATATTCTTAAAGGTAGTGTAAAAAATATCGCCGCTTATCTGGTCCGCTAGTAATAAGGTTGCCAGCATTTAATTGCAAAGCGATTTTCTTGGGTGGAAAATACTTTAGTGTAATTCCAAGGTAGTGTTCCAGGTCCAAAGAATTCAGAATAAATTATTGAAATAAAGTTTTGTTATTTTATTTTGGCTAAATAATTGTTAACAATTCCACAAGATTTCATGGAAAATTAATGCATTCCCAAGTGTTATTTGGTCTCTGAGATGATCTATTCGTTCTTTCCTTGATTTTGTACAGCCTAAAACAAAAATAAGTATAAATTTAAATGAATAATAAACTTTGAATTAAAAATAAACAAACCATAAAACCTATTTCTTATTTTAATGGTTAATGTCAAAAATAGCTTGATAGATCTCAATCCTATTAGTGGTACAACAACTTATTTTAAATACATTCTTACTGGACAATGGCCGGCGTCAGATTAAAAAAAAAACTTATCTTGAATTTTTTTCTTTTCCTTTCTTTGGTAGTCTTTTGTATGAAAAAGTATTGGTTCGTGTAGAACTTACAACGCAATTTTGCGGCTTTTCTAGAGTTTTCTTGATAGTTTTCCGAAAATTTAATAGTTGTAGCAGTTAGAAGCTGAGCAATTATCACCTATCGTGTGGATTTGTTTTCTAAAACTAAAAAAAACTCGATTTTATAAACTAATTTCGTATTAGAAACACTTTAAGGCCACATTTGAACAAAGGCCTTTCATTTTTACTCTGTGATTTAATCTCAAACCATTTTGATCATCTTTTCCACTTATATTTATAATCTCGTGACTTCTTAAGGGATTGGCTATCAGTTTTCCATATTAGTTGGGATCGGATGTTATCCAATTGTCCATAAGAGAGAAAGAACCTAAAACGTCGGATTATTAAAGGAAATAATAATAATAAATATTAAGTACTCACCTGGGACCGAGTCTCCAGAAATCAAGAAGATAGACTTTCTAACAGCTAAGTGGAAATTTATTCTTAATTTTGGTAGAATCGAACATTACACTAAATTTCTCAATTTTTTAGTACGGCGCTGTAATTAGAACCCCACTGCAGGGGTTATAATAAGAACTTGTTAATTAACCTGTTCACTTTATTGTTCAACTATTGATTTTAAAAAAATCTTTAATAAAGACAAAAGTAGCAATCGAAGAATATATTCATTTATTGATAATCATTCTTTTACTCACGTCCCTGAGGGCTCTCCGAAGGAGCGTTTTCAATGCACATATCAGTAGTTTATTTCCATTACTTGTTTCTTACTGATTCCATCGATTTCTACTTTCTATCTGATTGGTTCTTTACTGATTATTATTGTTTTAGTTTTCTGGTAGTCTAAGACTCCACTGCAAGATCACTACGTTCATAGCATAGTTAAACTCACATTTTTTATACATTTAGAAATAGGAGAATACATTAATTCAATGAATAGTAACTAATTTTTGAACAAAAATAATACTTTGATCATTTATTTTTTAAATAAAATACGATGCGCTCATGTCGTACATGCATATTTGTTTATATTAAATTAAAGCAAATTTTATTTTAATATGATGATGTAATGTTGCCCGAACAAAAAATTGTCACAAGTTGATGTTGCCATCTATTGAAAAGCGCAAGTTATCAAACATAAAGTAAAACATAGTACGCAACGACACTGACAGTTTTTTAATTAGAGTTCCTGCTACTTTTATAAGTGGCGTTATTATGTTTTATGATGAAGTGCCGTGAGAGGTTCAATTCCTTGAATGCAGTTACAGTTTGATTGCAAATAAGACAGAGGTTAGATAGATATGATAAGCTATATAAAGTTATTCCTTATAAAAACACGACATTCTGGATAAACTTTACGTTTTTTACTTGCCATTGTATCAATCAAAAATGTCAAAAACCACTACCAATAAGCCAAAACTAAAGAAACGCAAGCCAAACATAGCACCCCATTAGTTTCGAACGTCGCCGAGCAACAGACACATTTTACTCCACATCGTCGTGCTACCGACTTACGGACGTGCAAACTCTGTCACTATTAGATGCTATAATACCGTACTTAAAAATGTAACGAGAAGAAAACCGTTATTCTTGACCTGACCGATTTTGTTTCAGATTGCTTATTTATCGTTCAATATTCTCAATATTTCTGTAATTTTTGGGAGTTTCTTCTTAGTGCTTGTTTTTTTTTTTTTTCGGTGTCTTTATATTATTATGCTTTGATCAGAAATGAGTTTTTTCTATGATTTTCTCATTTTATGTGTAGAAATTGATATTGGCATACAATAAGATTTTTAAGAACTTTTTTGTATCAATAAACGAAAGTTATATGAATATTTTTCAAATTGATTTTATTAAAATTAATTTTAAAAATAAGTTTCTTTAATCTTCAAATATTCAAGGCATATTTTGTAGATCCTGGGACATAGATTGTGAATTATTAACCCCAGAACAATGCAAAGACAAATGGCCGCTATTAAACGCTGAAGATATCCTTGGAGGTCTCTGGATTCCTGGGGACGGTGTTGGTGACCCATATGAAACGTGTTTATCTATCATGGCACAAGCAAAAAATATGGGTTAGTTCCTTTTTAAATAAATTTCCACTATTAAATCTTTGTTAGGTATATAATATATGTAAGTATGTGTAATTTCTAAACTTATGTCTTTTCTTAGGTGTAAAAGTATTTGAAAACTGTGCTGTTAAGAAGATTACTCACACTAACCAGAAAGTATCAAGTGTTGAAACAGATCTCGGTCTTATCAAGTGTGAGTACTTTGTCAACTGTGCTGGTTTCTGGGCAAGAGGAGTGGGGCGATTGTCTGAACCTGTTGTTAAAGTGCCTCTTCATGCTGTAGAACATTACTATCTTCACACTAAGCCTATACCTGCGTTGGATCCTATGTTGCCAGGTAATAATAAAGTACAGGTTTTATATTATGTGTCTAATGAAGACGTACGTATGAAGTGTTTCTTCACAAGCCATGCCATTAGAATTGGCAACATTGCAGCTGCTTGTGTAGGCGATATGTTATTATATATTTACTTATCTAGGTGTGTCTATATGTATGTATTTTTGTATATGTATATGTATATACATACTTACCATATATGCTGACGTATCCACGCTAGTACACTAAAGATTTTGCCTTGAAATGAGGTGAAAAATAAACAACTTTTTAGATCAAAAACAAACATTTATTTACGGGACGTCCCAATTAAAAAATACAATAAGAAAGAAATAATAACAATAAATAGTGCAAAAAAAGATAAAATGACATAAAAATGGCAATTCTCATAAAAAATGAGTACCTACTCTAACTTTAAGATTTACTCACCGATATATTATATTACTCGCCGATTCCACTTTGTATCAAAATTCTTCAAATGTGAATCAATCTCTCTTTTAAAGCAGATATAATTAAGTATGGTTTCGTTTTAAAAAAATCGTTAATTTTCTCTGCATGACGTTGAATGAGTCTTGCCTTCTGGAGTCTGGATTTTTTCTCTTCTTCATTTCTAGACGGGACAAGTATGAATGCACAAACATGGTTGACAAAGCATTCTTCATATCAACAGTGTTTTCCTCCTGGCAGGTATAGCAAATATAAGACACAGGGCCCTCAACTTTTAAGGTTGAGGTCCCTGTGTCTTATAGTTACACTTTGTTAGTTTGAAGTACATGTTGGCATGCAATTCCTAGACATCTGAAAAACATGCGTTATTTTAGCTAGGTGTATTTATTTGAAACAAGTTTTAGTAGACATGAGTGGAAGTGAAAATTGATTTCACTATAACTCATTTATTGTATTTTTTAATATAATATATGAGTTTTTGAAAGTTTTAAAATATTCAAATTAAAGTATCTTTATCAATTTCCGAACCTGGCCCAAATAAGCAAGCAATTTGATTAAACCAAGTCTGAGAGACTTGCACACCCCTTAGAATGACATTTGGATATTACAACTCATTGGAGCGCGATGTATTAATTCGTGTAATCAGGAATCCCTCTACCGCGCTCCAATTGTCCAGACTATCCTATTAAATATTGGATACTTCATTTTATCAAAGGCATAGCAACACCGAATCAATTCACGGATCAATCAACCGATGACAGTGAAACAGACATTTTCCGATGACAGCGACGATTTATTAACAATTCGGCATTCATACAATATACTTGTACATCATAAAAATTGTAATATACATTCAACAAAATACAAAATAAAGTCTTATAGTTACATAATATCTAAATTAATAGGCCTTAGATGGCAATAAAAACACATCCCTTTTCCCCCTATAGCACTATGATACGTGATAGGGGCTCACTATTAGCCAAATGCTTTTCGTGTGGAAATCCTGAGGCACTCTTTTTCTTCTTTCTCTAGTGACGTATTGTACTTGTGACGTAACTGAAATTGCTTTCTCTTCGTGGCGTAACGTGTAACGTAACTGAAATGTGGGCCCTTCGTGCCCGGGTTTTGGGGTTTTGTTAATTTTTTTTTAATTTCGTCTTTTTGGTGGTATTCTTTTAATAATTTGATTTTATATGACTCATTTATATTTACATTTCAGATATATATTATAAATTTTAAAACATATGACTTTAAAATGATATTGCCAATATTGCTGAGTTGCTTTTCTGGGACGACTTTATTGTAAGATAGTTCATTCGATTACATAAAATCATCTTTAACTTGAGAATATCCGTCAGAAAAATCGTAGCATGTAATTCGTCTTTAAAAAGACAACCACATGCCATAATGACAGTAAAATTCTCCTGTTAGTAATTCCATGGTAAGTCATGAGGAAAAAACCAGAAAAGAAATCGGTAAAAAAATATGGGTAACCAGATCTTACTGCATTCTGCCGAGGAATTTACGACACAATTGGTCTCATTTAGCATAATTAGAGCCGCTTCTTTGATTTTTCTCTTTTTGCCATCCGTTTCTTTTAGGACTATAATTAAATCATTCCATTGAACCCTATGTTTATAATTATCCCATGCGTGGTTATATATTTGAGGTCTATCAAATGCTCTATTTTTAATATAAGATTGATGTTCACTTATTCTAACATTCAATGGCTTTGATGTTTCACCTAAATAACACTGATCGCATTCACAAGGTATTTTATAAATACAATTCTTTGTCCTTTCTTGTTCAGGTTTAGTTTTAGACAAAATAGATCTCAATGTGCTTGTTGTTTTAAATGTTGTTGAAATGTTGAATTTATTACCTATCCTTTTAATTTTTTCTAATAATCCTTTTATGTATGGTATTGTTATTTTCCTCGTATCATTCCTTGTGTATATTGTAGGATCTCGTTTTAAGTTGTTCTATTCTCTTTGGTCGATTGTTGAAAATTCCTTATCTGTAAACGATAAAGGATAATCATTTTTTAATAAAACAGATGTTAATAAATTTTTTCCTCCAAGAACGAATTTTCGTTACAACAAGCAATTTTGGCTTTATCGTATAAGGATTTAATTATTCCTTTTTTAATATTAATATTGATTTGAAATTTTAATATCTGTTGGTGTGTGTTGGTTTTCCATACACCTGAGTCTCATATCCAGTATCGTTCTTAGAAATTAGAACATCCAGGAGAGGTAGTGTGTTATTATATTCTTTTTCCGTGGTAAATGTAATTGTCTCTTCTTTATCGTTTATATCATTCAGGAATGTGTCCAACAACTCTGATCCATGGGACCATATTGAGATTACATCATCCATATATTTTATATCCACCATACTGTGGGTTTTAAATTTTGTTTAGAAATAATATTTGTTTCAAAATCTTCCATAAATATATCGGCTAATAATGGGGATAAACTACAGCCCATTAGTAGACCAAAATTTTGTTTATAGAATTCATTATTTAGTTGAAAATATGTATTATCAGTACATATATTGAGAATCTTAGTCATCTGCGATTCGCAGATGATATTGTTCTGATTTCAGATGGCCTAAAGGTAGGTCTAAATATTAACTACCAAAAGACAAAAATGATGACTAATTTAGTTCCGAGCCATCCTTTTAGGGTAGAAGACGTCGAAATTGAAATTGTTGACAGCTACGTATACCTTGGACATACGGTAAAAATTAGCAGATATAATCAAACTGCTGAGCTGCTAAGAAGAATAACTTTGGGATGGGTAGCATATGGAAGACTGCGTGATATTTTTAGAGCTGATATACCTATCAGCTTAAAAAGAAGAGCCTTTAAACAGTGTGCCTGTCCTTACATATGGCGCAATATTTACTGTGCAATATGGCGCGCAATTACTGTGCAATATTTTTCTAGCAATTGAAATCTATAGTATGCATGTTCTGGTAATCCCATATACAATCTAGGTCTGTTTTGTAACTTTGTAGTTGTAAAATTCATTGTCATAGTTTTTAATTCAGTTATATTTCATTATTAAGTTTTTTCACTTCACCGGGCGCTAAAGTATACTATACTGAAGTATACACTAACACTTTCACTAAAATTTTCATGATCACTACTTTGTATGCTTAGAGTAGTTTCAGAAATATTTGTCACATAACTAGTTGATGTCTTCATCTCTACGTTGACTGGAATAATTTTGATTGGCGATAACCCTACTGTAATTCCACACAGTAGGTTACATTGAACACCATTAGTATTAACACTAGGACAGGTTTGTGAAGAGACATCACTTTTCGAAACTTTAATGTCATTTGTTTCCAGCTGAATTTCCATAGAGTGAATGGTCTTACTACTACATGCAACTATCTCCAAATTCTCCTGAATACAAACTGGATCTTGTGGCACCAAATAAATAGCTTCATCAACAATTCTATTTGCAGTTCTTTTAGTACCTGCTGCGCTGGGATGATTTTCAAAAGATCTTTTTCTATTTTATTGGCAATCAAATATATGAGGCACTACATTTGGTTTCATTTTTTCTGACCACTCATTAACTTGTATTTAACATAGTTATCCATGTCTTCTTTAAGCTAGAATAAATAAATAACTAAATCTAACATATTGTAACCTCGGAAATCTTTTTTGGATGGTGCTAGAAAGATAACCAATGGAGACACTGCGGACGGCAGCCAGATGGTTGGTGGAGAGCGAGTCGTGGGTTCGAAACTAGCTTTTGGAATCGGGAAAGGGTCCAACGGACGAAATAAGTAAAGATAGGATAAGAGATATTAGAACAGATAGAAGACAGAAATAAACAAAAAGATAGATGGGTAAAATTACCAAAGATACGATAAGATAGAAACAGGGTGCCACTCAATTTTTTGGGGTTAAGGAGAAAATTAAGAAACCTTAGAAAAGAAAAGAGATAATGAAAGATATTTAGGTTCAGAGATCAAACCCAAGGAAAGATACCAACAGTTAAATTATCAAATAAATTTGGTCAACACAATAGATAAACAAATAATAAATATATTACTTACCTACGAAACTTAATCAGCCTGATCTTTCTACTGGTCAAAACTATAGTAATATTTAAAGATAAAAAGCAAATATTCAGAGTTACTATTTTATCAAGGAACTTGTTAGGGGCTGACAAATAAAATACATACATAAATCAATAAAAATAATAATAATAATAATCAGAAAACAACACAGCTCAACACTACCTAGACACATTAAAACAAAAACTATCCGTTTATTCAGGTCGCTTAAGGAGATACAAAGTTAGTAACAACCGTAAATACGACAATATACTTTTTGAAAATTCAGAGAAGGCTCTCTATAGGAAACTAAATTCCACTGTAGAAAATGTAAATAAATCCTACCCAAGCCAAGAAGAAATTCGTAAGTTTTGGGTAAATCACCTTTCGACGCCAGCTACTCATAACAACAATGCTGGATGGATTGAAGACACGGCGAACAATTGTCAACACTACAAGAATATTCCTTATGAACCTTTCACCACTGAAGAAGTCTTGAACATCATCAAAGAGCTTCATAACTGGAAATCTCCTGGACCAGACGGAGTTCAAAACTTCTGGTTAAAGAAGTTTTGGAGTGTTCATGAGCTTTTAACAGTATTTATTAATAATATTATTTCTAATTCACAGGAAATACCATTATTTCTTACTCAGGGAACCACTTATCTAATACCGAAGGATCAAAATAACACCCAAGATCCAGCCAAATACCGCCCAATTACTTGTCTTCCAACTTTGTACAAATTGGTCACATCCTGTGTAGCCCGGCGTATCTACCAACACTGTGCTCTGAACAATATCATAGAGCCTCAACAGAAAGGATGCGCTAAGGGCTCCATGGGCTGCAAAGAACAACTTATTATCGACTCAGTAATTTCTAACCAGGCATACACCAAAACAAGAAACCTTTTTACTGCATTGACTACAAGAAGGCTTTTGACTCAGTGCCGCATGAATGGCTTATATATATATATATATATATATATATATAATATATATATATATATATATATTGAAGCATATAATGACAAAGTGGAAGACTAAAATTCACCTTCAAATACATGATGAAACTAATATCGAAACTGAAGATATCGCTATTTAAACGGGGCCTTTTCCAGGGTGACTCGTTGAGTCCACTTTGGTTCTGCCTAGCGATGAACCCACTATCTCAGCTGTTGAACTCCACTGACTCAGGATTTAGCATTTAGCAATGAGATCAACCAAGAACCTGTCGACAATACAGCGTCGAACTATGGGTTGACATCAGGAAAGATGTTTCCCGAGACTGAGGGTTTCCTACTTGCCATTCAGGATCAGGTTATTCCAACTAAAAATTACTTGAAATATATTGTTAAAGATCCTCAAGTCCAAAATGACAAATGCCGATATGGATGCCAAGCCCAAGAAACCATCGAACATCTTACCGGTGGCTGCCAGGCATTTGTCTGTACTGATTATAAAGAACGCCATGACTCAGTAGGAAAGATTATCCACCAAGAACTAGCTGACAAACTGGGACTTCTCCAAACCGACTATCTTCCTTATTATCAATACGCCCCTGATAGAATGCTTGAAAATGACAACTACAAGCTATACTGGGACCGCACTGTGCTTACAAACCAACCAGTGGCCCATAATAGACCGGATCTCATACTAGTTAATAAACTTACTAGACAAACAACACTTATTGATGTGGCGATACCTAACACCAATAATTTAGGTGTTAAATACAACGAAAAGATCGCCAAATACAGAGATCTAGAAATACAAATCAGGAGACAATGGAGAATGGAAAGTACCCAGACACTACCTATTGTTCTATCTACTACTGGTGTTATTCCCAAAAACCTCCTAGCGAACATAAAACAGCTGGGTCTAAATGAACATCTTTATAAGGCCACGCAGAAAGCTGTACTCCTCGCGACGTCCAGATGTGTACAAAAATTTTTGGGAGATACTCCAACATACCAAGTCACCTAGGGCTCGATAACACGGAAAGAGTCCCACCAGAGCTCAATCCTTTTGATACCGTAGGTATCTGGGATCAGTGAATTTTCTCCTTAGAGGGAGTGTGAGCTGTATGGCTAAATCTGGAATAATAATAATAACCTATAAGAACCTCCTAGAAAACATAATAAAGCTAGGTCTGAATGGACATCTCTACAAAACCATGCAGAAAGCTGTACTACTCTCAGCGTCCAGATGTGTACGAAAATTTTTGGGAGATACTCCAGGATACCAAGTCACCTAGGGTTCGATAACACGGAAAGAGTCCCACCAGAGCTCAATCCTTTTGATACCGTAGGTATCTGGGATGAGTGAATTTTCCCCTTAGAGGGAGTGTGAGCCGTATGGCTAAATCTGGATAATAATAATGCAGAAAGCTGTTCTACTTTCGACGTCCAGATGCGTGCGAAAATTTTTAGAAGATACACCGACGTACCAAGTCACGTAGGACTCGATAACATGGAAAGAGTCCCACCAGAGCTCAATCCTTTTGATACCGTAGGTATCTGGGATGAGTGAATTTTCCCCCTAGAGGGAGTGTGAGCCGTATGGCTAAATCTGGATGATAATACTTTATTAACAAACAAATTAAATTTTTTTCTTTACAATAAAATATAATGACAGTAGGGCGAGATTCAGTTTGTATATCACTGTATAACAGCGGCATACAACTGCTCTTCCACCTAACCCCCCGAAGAAAGAGTAGATAGACTATATCTAAATAATGAAATTATTGTACTTTACAATGAACATAAAGTATTACATATTAAATTTACAAACTATAAACCATTTATTCTTTTTTAAATTCTGAAATTTTTAAATTACAGTTCAGCTAAGAGGTGCTCATAAATTAATCTCTTGAACTTGACAATAGACAGATTTTTAAGATTGTAGGACAAACTGTTAATATTGCTAGCAATGGAATACGAAAATCAACGTTTATAAAATCATGTTGTATGTTTAGGTAAAGTGAGGGTATTCTTGTGTCATGAACGTCTGTCCTATAAGTTATTCGATTGTACAGATATGGTGGAACTCTCTCCTGAATGATTTTATGGTAAAAACATAAAGCATGAAGTTTCCGACGATTTTTCATATTTAGCCACTTGACTACGGTGAAAACATGACTTATCCTTGAAATTTCCTGATGCCAAAATCAAACGCAAACAAGAATTTTGCAATTTCTGTATTCTCCATGAATCAAATTCAGTGAGACACGCATTGTAAAGCACGTCACAATAATTTAATTTTGATAATACCAGAGCATTACATAATAATGACTTTGTGGCCCTACTTAATAAATTACGGCTTTGATACAGTAATTTTAAAACTGCGTAAGCTCTTTGTAAACAAATACTTACATGATATGAAAATCTTAAATCTTCGTCGAACCAAACCCCTAGGCTTTTAATCTTTTTGCTAAAAATTAAATTGTCATTTCCTAAGATAATTCGATTGGCATAATTCTCTAAAAATATTTTCCTATGGAGATTTCTCCCAAAAATGATACCCTGAGTTTTTGATGTATTTAATTTTAAACAATGATTTTGAGAAAAAATCTGCAGATTAAGAAGGTCATGATTTATTGCATTTACCGCTTGATCACACTCATTTGGATAAAATGACATACAGAGTTGGGTATTGTCTGCGTAATAATGTTGTGAACAGGACAAAAACATAAAGGGAAAATTAGAACTGTATATAGAGAATAAAATTGGACCTAGTATAGATCCTTGAAGCACCCCAGTATTAAGATCTAGAAATGAAGAAATATTTGGATTAAGTTTTACTGCTTGACATCTATTAGAAAGATATGATTTCATTAGGTCAACTGCTCTCGCTTCTAGACCCAATATATTTTAAAATAGAGAATAAACAAAATTATGGTTAGTTGTATCAAAAGCTTTTGAGTAGTCTAGAAGAATTAGAATTGATATTTTGTTTTGGTCATAGGCTCTAAAAATATCATCTGTAATATTTAATAAAGCAGAAAGACAGCTATATCTAGACCTAAAACCGGACTGCATCATAGGGATTATGTTGTTATTTTTTAAATGCGTTTGTAACTGAATATCAAATCACATTTTCCAAAATTTTAGGTAATGTAGGCAGAACACTTACTGGTCTTAATTCATTAATGATTTCTGTAATTTTAGTCTTTGGTAAAGGGATAACATGTGCCCGTTTCCATTTAGTGGGAAAAATTGAATTTGTTTAGCAAAAATTAATGATATGTGTGATATACGGAAGAAGAAAGGGAATACACAGTTGCAGCGTTAATATGTTAATACCATCGTCACCTGTAGCTTTACTTTTAATACTATTAATAATATGTAAAATTGTAAATGTTTAAAGGTAAGAGAAGAACTGAGGGAATGCTTAAAGTTATTTTCATAGAATATTTGTGTAACAATGTCTGCTTTCATGTTTGGTATGACTTCAATAAAGTGTTTATTTATCTCATTTGCATTCCACGCCTTTTTAATTTCGAAATTATTTTGGATTTGCAATTATATACCACATATTTTAAATTATTCCACATATCTTTTAGATGATAAACTTGTAAGCAGTAAGTGTTTATTCTTTATGTCTAAGCATTAATTGTTTTGTTGACTTTATTAGTTATACCATAAAGCATATTTTTTTGTGATTCTAAAAGTCTGATATGGAACATGTATGTCAAGTAAAGTAATGATATTATTAGAGAGAAAATCGACTTTACTGTCAATATCTGACAATTCATATATTATTCTCCATGGTATAGATTCCAGATCAGATTTAAATTGACTGTAATTTAAATTTTTGAAATTCCTAGTAGTAATAAATTTATTGTATTAGTTTTGACATCACAACTAAATTTTAAAACAACCATTTCATGATCGCTTATTTCGAGGATATGTTTTACTTCAATAGACAAAATTTTATCCTCAGTAGATGTGATTCAAGCAGAGTTGATGTGAACTGGGGATTCTAGTTGCTTGATTCACCATCTGCTTTAGTCCAAGACCATCTAATACATCTGAAATGAACTGTGTGGAATAATTATTGGTATTTAACAGATCAACCTTAAAGCCGCCCAAACAGAGTAAATGATCTACAGTTGGCAGTGCTGATGATAAAATTGTTTCCAAAACTCCAAAGAAAGTTTTATAAAATGCTCCATAAGGATTATATACAACACCAAATGTTTCATATCGAAGAGAGAGTTTTAACCATATCTGTTCAATTTCATTTGATGACTCAATTAGCACATAATTTATATTAGATTTTATGTAAATACCTACACCTCCACCTGTGTCATTTTTATTCCCGCCGTCGACTCGCTCAACTACAATAACAGAATTGATTTCTCCATTCAACAATACATAGTAGTTTCAACCATGTTGTAATATAGTCTATATTAGATTGTAATTTATTACAATCTAATAGACTATTTTATAACAATTTGTGGGCCTTACCTTGTCTGTTTAAACTTTTATACCTTTTTATTCAACTTACTCTTTTTTAAATAAAACCACAGACATGTAATATTGGCATAATTATTGTAATTTACAACATCTACTTTGTTATCTTTTTTAGACAACACCCTAATATGGGTTTTTATCATTTCAGCAATTATTTAACTTTGTATCGAGACCTAAGGATGCTTTGCATATTGTAGAAAGCGAAACCGGTCGTCTGATAGTTAAATTAAATTGATTGTGAGTAAGTCTTATTTATTATTTCTTTACCTATTTTTCATGTATACTTTTCTCAATAACAGATTCAATAGGAATCACAAGTTTTGTGGGTGAAGTTGCAATATCTTTTACATTTTTTTTAACTGCCCTGACACCTGTGTTGACTTACTACGATAATGCACTGGATTGGCCTGACAACCAAAGTCAACTTTAAAAGGTGGTGACAAAGTTTCTACAGTCTCACTATGATACTTGGCCTGGTATGAAGTACTTGGATGTTGATTGTCTGGTATATCTTTAGGTAACACTGACTTAATTGTTGACAACTCAGATTCCACTAAAATGTCTTCTATTTTTCTTTTTCTACCTCTCCTTTCACTACTTGGCCGGTAGGTGGTTTTTTTGTCTGACTGACAAGTAAATATATGTGGAACTACTTTAGGTTTCATCTGAGCAGCAACTTTACTGAGTCTATATTCCATATAATTTTCCATGTCTTCTTCAAGCAAAAAAAATAAATGCTTAATTGTCTCCAAAAAAAGTTAGTCAAAGTTGTATGTATGCATGGCTACATTGGCTGGCTATTAGGTACTTTACATTGCTTAGGTGTATTAAACATATTTTGAAACTAGGTAACCATTTTATAAGTTTAACTAAATGATTAATGATTTTAATATAATATAAATTCATAGCCATATTCACGTGTGGCCATTTCAGTGCATTTTACTTTTACTGTATGCATTATTACTTTTGTCAGTATTGAGAATTTTTATAATTTATTTTTTTTTTTATAACCAAGCTAACCTAAATCTAAAACTTATAGAATTGGATAAAAAATAGTTATTAAAAACATATTATTTAGAAACAAGATCCAAAACTTACATTAAAGTGATCTTCACAACAGAAAAACTTAGTTTTTATTGACACTTCCTAGATGTCCCTTCTAACTGCAACAAACCATTTCTATTTTACACTTCGTAAATACATATACATAAGAAGTTGTCGATACGACTGCTGACGTCACACACCGTAGCCTCGCTGCGAGGAGCCGTTTTTCTAGCCTCCATCATAATTAAAATTAAGAATAGGGAACTTGAAAATTTTTTTTTATTTATTTATTATATTTGTCTACATATAGAAACAACGTATACCAAATATCAACCCTTAAATCGCAATATTTAATTTACAATGAACATTTAAAGTTATGATCGCCAGCTTTCCATTTTAAATAACATGACGAGCTATATGACGCAGCTCGTTCCAGGACAAGAGAACAACGAACTGGCAAAAGTGTTGCCACAAACTGTCAACTGTAAAAACATTGACAAATTGGCATTGTGTTTTGAAGGTTTTTTTTGTGGAGAATTTCTTTTTTCTTTTTATTATATGTGCTTTAATAATATCAATAATAATAATGGAAGCAACACAAAATCAATATTACAAATATTGTATGGTTCCCATGAGACATATTTTTCACAGAAAACTACAGCCTACGTATGTGAGGATCATTTTAAAGTGAGTATCAAAAACAGACTATATCTAATCATCTACATATCATTATACATAGTTAGCTATTTTGTTTTATTTCTTTGCTACACAATGCAATAATATTTAGTAAGAATAGTATTATCGTTGTATTACAGATAACCTTATGTTTTTAATTGTTACTATATTTATTCATAAAACACATATTTTTATATGGCTTACTAGCTGACCCGTCAAACGCTGTTTTGTCTTATAAATTATTTCTAGTTTCTAGATAAATTCTAGTGTAGACAAAAAGTTCCTTATTTATTATAAGTGTGTAAGTATGTGGTATATGCGTGAAATGGGCGAGGAGCGCTATGAACGATAAGGGAATATAAAAATAACAAACGCCAAACAATATTATTTTAAAGTTATTATAGTTTATTACTTAAAATTACATATCACATATTAATTACGATAGTAACCCTAACAAACAAAATCAATCTCTTAATGCTATAGCGTGAACAGTATTTTTTGTTAATCCATCTTTAGCGAGCACAAACAAACTGAATGGTTTACCCACTCTAGAGCATGCTACGTACAATTGCCCGTGTGAAAAACATGCTGTACTCAAATCTAAGCCACCAATAGACATCGTTTGGCCTTAGGATTTGATGATTGTCATTGCAAATGCCAATCTAATCGGAAACAATTCGTTTCAATTGAATTTGTATTTGCCATTTAAAATGCTGACTTCGATAACATTTTTCATCAATTTTCGAATGACTAATCGCGTACCGTTGCACAGCCGTGGCGGGTTTAAATTACGAAGCAAGATAATTGGAGATCCAGCTTTCAATTGCAAATTATGCGTTGGCATGCCTGGCAAATCCAGTGAGTTCA